TGTCACATGACCGAATGCTGATTTCACATGTTTGTCTACATCAAGAATTCCATTTAATCCGCCCGTTATATGTCACTGGTACGTTTAATTGTACGTTCGACACTTGATCGGCACATTTTCTTTGTGGAGACTGTGCAGGTTATAACTTGAAATATAGGTTTATATCCCAAAGATGGCCCTTTATTATACACTCTAGATGTCACAATTTTTATCCCATTTTGATGAAACTGAACATGTGTGTTTATAACCCAAGGATCTCGATTCCTTGCAATATTGGCGCATATCGGATCATCACTTCATGGATTATGACCCCTGATTGAACAAAAAAACGCGTTTTGAGCCTGTGGAATTTTTATCTGATTTTAAAAGCCGTTCAAGTATATCACCGTTACACCATAATAACAGTTGAGTTTGAATTTCGTGAATTGGTTTGTGCCTTTGATCCTGTATCACTGTCACTTATATTAGAGTATATATTAAATTTCAAATCAAAATTTGGACGTCTAGTAAACACCATATTAACCACGGTACTAAGAATATTATCAATATATAATTCATTTTCGGGAGCATCCTTTCCATCACAACTTTGACGGCTATTATCCCCCATATCAAGAACATCACAATCTTCCATATCGAGTACATCACCAAATGTAATCAGTATCCAAATACTTATCACAAATAATCTCATCATTAACATTTGTATTCGCCTGTGTTATAAAAATGTCGTCTCCATGTAAAATATTTTCGACTGTCTGTGTATGCTTGCATTATATGACGGGAGTGTTTTGTCACATGCATTCATGTGCATGTGCATGTTGTTTTAAGAATCTATCCATTATTTTTGTGACTTGTTCTTTTAGAAAACAATCCATTATTTGCATCTATATGGTGCTATGTTTTATGTTTGATAATAGCCTCAGACTGTCTATTATGTAAATACAAAGAAAAACGCTGGGCTAACGCCCCTCAGTTGTTCTTTCTATTTACATAATGGACATTATCCATCATTTAATAAATGCGTTTCGAAATTTACCGATTCCTGATAACATTCAGTGCTACGGGGTTGAAATGGGATATATATGTAGTATTATAGTAACCAGTCACCAATTTTATGAGGATATTGCGTAAGAAGTTTTTATTTGTATACTCTTCAAAAAAAAGTAGGGGATATTGAAATGCAGGTTGCGATATGATAAATAGTCATGGACATTTGAGAGTATGTTCACAGATGAAGAACTTATCGCCCCAACAAAACCACTGAGCTGCACACACACGTGGGAGGGGTTCATTGTCAAATTTGACACTTCAAGGAAGAGTTGATGAAAACTGTCGCGTGCTGGTTTATCTATCCATGTTTGCTTCCCTATCAGTTCTTGCATAAGATTTACTGTTTAGCGTATCTTTGATTTAGTGTGTTACGTTTAATTTGATCGGGAATCGTGTTCGTCGACGTCAACGTCAACCGACAACACTGCAAGAATTGGCTGTGGCAGTGCAAGAGGAGTGGGTCAGATTGGCCCAAATCGTGATTGGACGGTTGATTAGGAGTATGCCACGACGAATTGCTGAATGTCTGAGAATTGGTGGAGCAATTACTCATTATTAAGACAAAAATCAAAAACTTTCATTTTCACTTTTGACGGTGTCTCTCTTTGCGAGTGAAATGGGGCCGTCAGATAAGTCACCCATATGAACTGTTATGTTCATGTGTAGGCAATTGGCCTGTTATTAACATACACTGGTAACCACTAATAAAAACAGCAGTGCATTTCCGCAGTTTTGTATTGTTTCTGAATATCCCCTACTTTTTTTGAAGAGTATATTTCGGTAACAATTTCTGTGTGTGAGTATGTCTCCGAACGCTTGACAGACCGCACTTTTAACAGATTTTCTTCAAATATGGCATCATTATTTTTTTTTCATGGGGCGATTTTCGGTGCATTCCCGACCCCACAGATCATTCTACCCGAAGTGTACCACATTAAACAAATTGTAGTCCCATTTTCTTCCTGTGAACCAACTTTCATTTAGTCTATTCTGACACATACTGTTAGACTGTCACCACATTAGAAAATATGTCAATGTAAGTAGTTCAGCAGGAATTAGAAAAGCTGTATTGTGGAATAAAGCTGTAAGTTGAACGTATAAAAAACACCCTTAAGGCTGATTTATATTTTGTGTTATTTTGTGCAACCGGAACTGTGGATGGTGAAATAATGATGTTTAAGCCCGATGAAAACTATTTATTTAATCTAAACTGGGTTGTTTTTGACATACTGGGAGAGTTTTAGTATAGAGCAAACATTGCCTAGATTTCAGTCCAATTTACATAGAGGTGATGACTGACGGTTGTTCAAAACTTGAAGTTCGTTTGATGTTTTTGTCATGGAAGCCTAAGTAAAATCCTGTATCGTCCTCTGCCAAGTTCTTTTTCCCAGTTTTATCGTCGAGTCCACTGGGCGTTTAATCCACTCTGTTGTCACAACCATTAGCCATTAAATCAACACATAAAAAGCTCCGATTACGTCACATTTGGTCTTTTGCGCTCCCCATGGGTGGGAATGTATCTTTAAATATAATGATTTTAATTAAATTAACTTTAACCTCGCATATTTTAATTACCTTGACCTCTACATCGATTGTGGTAGTTCATAGCGTAAGACATAATTTCCGATTTCATTAAAACCTCAGAATACAATTTTTCACGTGTTGTCGGTACTATTATCGATAGCGTATAATTTGCAGTAGCGGTACTATCTGCGGTTAGGCAACCAAAGAACGCTACAGAATGAAGTCCTCTCAAACACAATTTACAAGAATTTACCAAGACCAAGCGAAGAAAAAACTCATCGATTCACTACACGTTACAGCCCGCAACACCATCTGCTCTGCAATAAATAAAGGTCAAATGATACACGTAGAATGACGTACATTTTATATTTTGATATGATTATGGAAGTGTATCGCTGCCAATATTAAATGCTTTGCTACAATGTCTTTTCCATTGATTATATGTAAAAAGTACATTGTACAGAGTCCTAATACTGGTAATGATAAAGTCAAAATACCTCTAAGGCAAGAGTTAAATGTAAAATGTTAAGTGTTAAATGACAAATGTTTTGTGGAAAAATGCTTTTGTTGACGTGTCTACATTTTACATTTCTCTCATTACATTTTACATTTGCTTTCTGCCACATCCCATTTGTCCTTCACGCATTCATATGCAAATGTAGAATATCACGTGTCTTATTAACATATACGAATATTGGCACACTATAAGCCAGAACAATGATATTCACGACACTATATCTTGACAGGAAACAGCCTAACACACAATAAAAATTTACTTACCTTGACACTTTGGATGGTACTTTACCATGATTACGGGGGGGGGGGGGCTGTGCAATGTCCAAATACGAAATTCCAGGTATCTTGTTACATATTAGTGAAATGCACGTTCATTTCTGTTTGTAAATATGTAAATAGTTTTCTGGTACAATCGTATTTTCATAATTCAAATCCAATAAATATCACACTATTAAAGGGGTATTCAAGCAAAAATACTGGTCTAAATACGAAATTCCAGATACCATGTTACGTATCACTGATTGCTCTTTTCAAATATGCAAATAACTTTCTGGCCCATTCATATTTGCTTAACTTTACAAAATAAGATTAAAATTGAAGTGAAGGAAGCGGGGGGGAACTAAACTAAACTAAAATAAACATACGGCGCTTAATCAAAAATTCTCTATGTCCATACTAAAAAATGCTTATATATTTTTAATGGATCAAAGTTAATTAGGCTGTACTCAACTCTGTTTATAGAGAGACCGGAAAAAGTGGGGGTGTTAAAAATATCAAAATACGGGTATTAATACGAAATTATAGTTATTGTGTTATAAATTACCGGAAAGTATGTTTCTTTGGCTTTTTTGAACTATCAATTATTTCCTGGCACATTTATTACTACGCACGGTCGTCTAGATAGTTTCTTATGGTGTGACAGCTTGATTTACTGTTATGTTGTTGTTCTTAGTGTTTAACGTCCGCTTCCTCTGTTATCGTGCGATGAATATCCTTATAGTCTGTTGGTTTATAGTGTGATATCCTACATATGCATATGAAAGTTGATGCTGTGCGAAAGTTGCTATGTAGAAAGCGTGATGGACAAATGGGATGTGGCAGAGCGCAAATGTAAAATGCAATGAGAGAAATGTAAAATGTAGACACGTCAAAAAAAGCATTTTCCTACAAAACATTTGTCATTTAACACTTAACATTTGGCGTTTTACATTTAATTCTTGCCTTAGGGGTATTTTAATTTTATCATTATCGGTATTAGGACTCTGTACATTGTACTTTTTACATATAATCAATGGAAACGACATATTGGCAGCGATACCCTTCCATATATGATAGCCCTGTAAAAATACTAAATGTAATATTCATCAATCCTGTTGAAAATGAGTAAGGTTTTGATTGTTAACTTTGGTGCTCTTTCTGATGTCCGTACTGACCCAAAAGCCGTGCGATACATAGACAGTGGCAGATTACCCATGGAGCACGTCCAAAATGCGTAATATAATTGAGAATACGAGAGCGTTAAACCTATCGATTTTCAACATTATCTGTTGGTCTGCCAGTTGGCCCGAACCCTGTCGATAATTAGCATTCCTTGACCTGCAGTCCCGGAGTTGTCTGCTGCCCCACACCCCATCGCTAATATTTGGTGTTCAAATTTGGTGTGAAGCATTGTTGCCATGAGCGGACGAACCCTATCTATCTACAGTGTTCGCAACTTTCCGTTCCGGAGTTATAACCCCCTTGCCGAAAACCCTGTGAACGCGATAGAGGCTATAGCTTTGGCAAATCGCAACATACATGTGGGTTTTCCATTTAACTTATGCAAAGAAACAGATCCAAAATATCTATTACAATTCCTGGTTAAAATGGCAACTATATAACTACTTTAATTTTACTTATTTATCTTGATTTAGCGCACCGAGATATACCTGTTTTGAATTCTCTAGAACTAACAACAACCTGTTACAGTACAGAGCAAGTAAGTTACACTGGTAAGCTGATACCATTGACTTATGAACCTGAGCCTTTTAGTAATGACAGTGATCATTATTCTAAACCAATGTTTAGTATGTATAGAAAGTGATTAGAAATTATACAGCAGTCATTAATTAGCAAGTGTGTAACTAACTGTAAAGGATGTCACTACTAGTGTAAAAGTGTGACTCGTTATAATACCCATCACTGATGAGTACACAAACCTGGACAAATAGTGGTGTATAGCATTCAATAGTCACGGTTTTAATACCAAAGTGATATTTCACCTACTTAATGACTGCTGTCTGATTACTAACAGTTTTAACTCATAAACATTATGTATATAAACTGACGACTTTGATCCATTTGTGGCAAATATTTTCATTTTTAAAAGTTATTTGTTGCTAAGTCAACGATATCAACTTTACAGTGTTTTTTCTTTTGTTTATTAAACTTTGTGCCAAGTAGCAATGGTTAGTAGCCCAATTCACATTAAAATTGTTATATTCTAAAGAATCTTATTTTCAACACAAACTTGTGTTAAAAACGACAAACTTTTGTTGAATGTCAAATCAAAACAAACTTGTGTTCAATTATAGAAAATGGCACAAGCTTGTGTTGAAACTTGTTTGGAAATCAACATATCATTTGTGTTGAGATTGAAGAAACTTGTGTTGTTTCATGGTGTAACTTGTGTTGTCTCGTGGTGTAACTTGTGTTGTCTCATGGTATAACTTGGGTTATCTCATGGTATAACTTGGGTTGTTCCATGGAATAACTTGGGTTGTCTCTTGGTATAACTTGGGTTGTTCCATGGTATAACTTGGATCTCTCGTGGTATAACTTGGGTTGTTCCATACAGAAAATGGTGTTGTTTTCTTACACTAACTTGTGTTTAGTATGTAAAACCCATAACAAAAACTATTATAGGTGGATAGAAGATTTTCTAATCAATAGACACATTAGGGTATATGCAGGAAGCTGCATGGCCGTACAATTAGAAACGGAAATCGGAACGCCCAAGTTTCCGTCATCAGTCCAACTCTTTTCAATATCATGATAAATGATCTGTCAAGCTATGGTTTTCCAATGAGCGCTTTCTGGAAATCATCAAAGGATATCGAAGAAAAAACAGAAATTTCGCCAGAGTATACTCTTGATCAAATCTCTAAATGGGCAAATGACTGAGCATTCAAAATATCGGAAGGAAAGACGGTAGCAATTGTGTTCCATCCGACTGACAGCAATAGAAAGATTGAGTTCAAACTCATAGGCACAAATCTAAAAGTTAAATCAGACGAAAAGTTTCCCGGTAGTATATGTGGTCATACTGGATAGCATTGGGTCATTTGAAGGACATTTTCAGTGATTTAGCTAACAAGTAAACAATTTCAGAATAACTAAAATCTTTTGTAAAATGGCGCACGTGCCCTCTACCAAATCGCAACGGTCTTCTGTGACGTGAGAGATATGCTATCTATCTTTGGAAAAATGTTCTAGGTGTGGTCCAAACGATTTTAAAAGTCGGGGCACTTCTTTTCCCCAGGGGACTTTTATCTATCTGCCCGACCGTCCACCACAACTTTTGGGACAAAGTACGTCTGCTTGTAATGGAAATAAAATTTAGGTGTAGATGATTTTTAAGTGATGAGCATGTTCTACGTAGGTTAAGCATAAATAACTCTGATTCTAATTGAGTAAGCCTGCTGACCCTTGGTGTTTAGTTTTATATTTGGGTAAGAGTGATGACATTACAATACCTTAAATGAGTTCGATGACGCATGAGCATTTCCTGCTTAGGTTAAGCAGAGTGAAAAACAATTTTGATGGACCGATGCTTTACAAACAGATAAATATGCAAGTGATTAATAAGTGTGATCTATTTATTTAGAGGTCGAGGCGGGGGTCGTCAATCTCACCGCATTGTTGTTATTCCAGTTTGAAATTGTGCCGTGATTTCTCTCGATTTTGATAGTAAACAGATTTTTTTACAAATGCCTATTATAAAGTTTTAAAATCATTACATGCCCTTTGTGATTCGCATGGTCTCTTTATATATTATCTCACGTATATTCTTTTCAGGTAGAAGTTTGAGACATGATAAAGAAATGGAAGAAATATGTACCTTCCACGAAGATACATACCCACTTTTGGATACCTATAGAAGTTCTTACTTTAAAAACCTTATCTGTACGTCTTTTATTTTTATACATGCGCGAAAAATCATTCCTAATTAATTCAAATGTCCAGGTTTTGGTGTCAGACGTGTATAAGGGTTAATATGCAACTCTGCAAATTAGGCAGTAGTAATGTGAACCTGATTATTTGCCCACATAAGCAACCAAGTTTAACGACATCAAAATTTAAAGATACATTATGGGAGATTAGATAACGAGCTGGAATTTCTCACTGTAATAGATAATGTAAAGGGAATTTGCTGAAAATTTCAGTCAAATTGACCCACTCTGAACCGAGTACGATAAAAAAAAAACATAGTCTCGATTATCCATTTCATGATTTAATCATGAACGAAAGTTGAACAGCAAATCGGATCCTAATCCAGTAAATATCGCGGGCTAGCGATGATATCGAGAGTTGATTATGGTCTGGATAAGTTAATTAATGTCTAATTAATAATTTAGATAACATGTCAGGCCTAAAGAAAGACCTGAAATAGGCGGATTTAGCACTTGCATAATGTATGTTTAATAAAAAAAAAAAAAAAATACACTCGCGCGAGGTAGTCTACCCATAACACGTGGTTTCAAGATGGAACTTTAAATAAAAGTCTGAACAGAGAAACAGAGAAAATAAACGCTGCTTCGTGGTAATCAGACAATAAAGAGATAAGGTATTCTGTCCAAATGAGCAGAAACAGTATCTCCGAGCTTCTGATTTTATCAAAGTCTATGGTTCCCCCCTCCCCAGGCCTCACACCAAACGTGACGTTGTCGCTACCCCGGACACCCTAAGGCCCGTAGCTAGCCCAAAATTGTTGGGGAGGGGCAAGGGCTTCTGGGGGCGCCGATGTGCCTACACTTGACGGTCCACGGCGAACGGTACCGTGGAAACGCCTCCTGTCGGAGAAGGGTCCGCGATGCTCTCCCTCCAGAAAATTTGGGGAAATAGGGCTTGCGCCTGACACTGACTGAAAATTTCAATTTTGAGGCTGAATTTGCGTTATTGGCGGATTGTGATATTTTGATATGAACATTATAAAAATTTGAAGGAAGAAATACGACTTTAACGTACCTATAATAATTTATGAGAAAAACGAAAAGTCCGGAATCGGGTTAGAGTGCGACTTGTTTGAATTTTGAAGATTATCATGCCGTTTTGGGCCCCCAATTCATTCGTATGCGCCTAACTAATCTCAATCGGCATTATGGGCGCCCATGATCTCGGCAATATGGGCGCCCCTCCGAGATGAGGCACCCCACCAATCATGCCGTTTTGGGCGCCCCATTGATCAGGTCGTGGGCGCCCAACCAATCTTACTCGGCATTATGCAGTATGTGCGGCCGACAATCATGTCATATATATTGTCATTATGGGCGCCCCTCCGGGATAAGGCACAGCACAGATCAAGCCGTTTTTGGCCTCCCATCAATCAAGTTGTGGTGTTAATCGTGTGGGTCATTATGAGGCGCCACTCACATAAAGCCAAGTTACATTGGTTGGGCGCCCCGCCAATCTCGTCGTCGGCGCCCAACCAATGTCACTCGGCTTTACTTGTTGTTGTTAGTTAGTTGTATTTTACGTCCGCTTCCACCGAGGTGATATCGCAGGCTTTACGTGGCGCCCATACTGATATGGGCCCGTTGGCTTCGTATTGCGTCCAATGGAAAGGGCGCCGTCGGCGCCCATTGGGGTATCCAATGTTTCCCCAATGGGCAAAGGGCACCCCCCTCTCCGCTAGCTGCAGGTCTTACCCTGCTGCTCAAATTTCTGGACACGCCCCTGATACTTTCAATGCTTACAGGAAATGGCCAAAATAAACGCGACTTGGGTTAAGGAAAATGACCCCATTGAACACGAGTCGGTCGACTAACGGAATGAGTGCAGGAAAAATTACCTGACAAAATACAATGTCATTATCTTCATTAATCTTTGTCTGTCCGTCCGATTGTCCCGTAGAGGGTTTAATTATGATATATGTTTCATGTGTTCCTCCGTCCATAACTGATAGCTGTACTGAGCTGCTGGTGGGCGTATTTTTTCAACTTTGTACTTGACACTAACACCATTCATGAATCCGGAACTGAAAATATAAATTTTCAATCTTTTAAAACTTTGTGTAAACAAACACCTTGGTGTGTGTCTATTTATGGTCACTATAACCATGTGACATTAATTACACACGTACAACTATTAGTATTTAAATCAATATTAACAAGAAGACCCGGTCATCAACTGGTCATCAACCGAATCTTCTTCTTAATAATGATGACTAATGTAATCAGTTTAAATCGTTATTACATGGTTTGAATGTATACGTCTGAGTTATTTCCCGACTCTTCAGATTACTTTTAAGTGTTTATAAATTATAAACACACTTTTTCTTGAATTGAACTTATTTATGTATTATCTTTCGTGTCAGAGTTATTGATATAATACCATTTATTACCATTTTAGTATCTGGAATAAAATTTCTGTGGCCTTCTTACTGTGGTATTGATAGTACAATACCCTTTAATGGGACTTATTTTGGTGAAATGTGCGATGGCACTATCTCGGATTGGGATGAGGATACGTGCACGACGAAAGGAACTCTTACACTACAATCAAGGACATGCTCTCCTTTAATGGCACCATTAGGTAAGATTAACCACTTCCTCATGTATTGCTTGGTTGTATTTAGAATAAGAAGTATATGAAAATACAAATGTACTGTTTTGCAAAATGAAAACTTTTCTATTTGAATACCTGTCCAAACGTCACGAATGCTGATTAGGGTTACCATTATTAACACATAAATTCCTTATTTATTAGTATCGTGCTATTTAGACTCTAAACTACCCCCAATTCATCACGGGTTTATTCTGAACTTAGAATCTAACCTACACTCAGTCAAATACCCACAAGTATCATCTGCAAGTGTTTCTATTCCATGAAGACAGAAAGTTTCACAGGAGAAAAATATACACAACCAAGATTTTCATTGGCTAAGTTAAGCTGACAGTCAAATTACCTCGTGTTTAAATCAACGTGAAACCAAAACAGGGTGTAAACTAAAACTAATTAAAAGGAAAATTTTCGTGTTGAAAATATGTCAATTTAAAGCGAGAATTGCATATTCTTAAGTCACACACACAGTCCTGCCTTGTTAAAGAATTGTCCTAAATCCTATAATTCACTTGTGTCAGTTTAGAACAGTGATTCTCAACCAGTGTGCCACGGCACACAGGTGTGCCGCGAGATCTTCCTAAGTGTGCCGCGAAATATTGAACGGCACACTAAGAAAATGTGAAAAACCACGTGATCCCAATTGAGTATTCACTGGTGTCTACTGGCAAGTTCATAGCTGGGTTTTTCTTTATTTAGTTTGAGTCATTCTATGTGTCTATGACTGTTTTTATTATGCAAAATTCAAATATTTTTCACATATATTTAGCCAGGTGTGCCGCTATATTTTCATGTGTTGCAAGGTGTGCCGTTGGCACAAAAAGGTTGAGAACCACTGGTTTAGAAATTGGCAAATAAGTCCAACGTTTGATGTTATGGTGTTATTATCACGTGTGCACGTTTGAAAAGACTAGTTCATCCAGGCATCATTATCCTTATTTGTTTAACCACGGACCTTGACAATCGAGACAACTCTATCTTCTATCGTAAAGACTTGGTTATCCAGTGAAAAGAAATGGTACAATTTTCAAATACCGTCGTCCTCTGCTAAGTTCGACCAACCGTGGTTTGACGAAGGATGTAAACAGCTATTTAAAGTAGCTAAGTCCGTTACTCAATTTCATCCAAAATCTTCGACATTGAAAACACGAATTTTTTTGCAATTTAAATCAGCATTGTTGTTGTGATCTTACCTGGAAAAGATGGGCTTCTGATATCCAATATTTAAGACAAAATAAACATTTTACCATTGGTACACGAATCGTGTACCATAATGCTTTTCAGCGCCATTTGTAACAAGGTGCTCAAAGAATGAGGCTAGACATATTCCACAAGTCATGTCAAACGGTGATATCACATTGTTATTTGGAAAGCATGCGCAATAAATAATATCGGTGTTGACTGGAATAACCAGACGCTAGAAACTAACTTGCGGTTGAGACTTCTGGCGTATTTCGCCGAACATAATTGATGACAATTCACAGTAAAACGGACACGATTGAATGTAAAACAGTTTATATAAATTCATATTACATTATTATATGTGTTGCGACTCATTTGTGCCAATTTCTAGGTCCAAAATATTAGCGATTTAGCTCCTTTAGAGAATATAAAAATTCACTTCATGCATTTAATATGTATAAGTCATTTGAAAATCATTCGACTCTTTTGTTACTAATAAAACAAAATATAAGAGAACTGGGCGCACGTTAAAAAATAGATATAAATTACAACAAGGAAATATGTTGGATTTTTTAAGAAAAAATAACCCCAGACAATTTTATAAATATTTTAAAAGTGCTGGTAGATCCGTACAATCAAATGTATCTACTGAAGAGTTTTATTCACATTTTTCAAACCTATGTTCCACGAATGCTAAAGTCAACGAACAGTAAAGGAATATATGAATAAATATGAAAATCATCTCACTGACTTGAATACACAAGAGCTAGATTTAGAAACATCAGAATTAGAAATATCTTCTGCAATTGATAACTTAAAGACTAATAAATCGAGTGGATTAGATGGAATATTAAATGAGTTTCTAATTAAATGTAAAATGACCCTGATGCCTTGTCTTAAGAATTTGTTTAATAATGTTTATGATTCGGGCTATTATCCCACAAGTTGGTCGATAGGCTCTATTGTCTCAATCTTTAAAAAAGGAGATGTAAACGATGCTGACAACTATAGAGGAATAACGCTACTCAGTTGTTTAGGTAAACTATTTACATGTTTTTTCCTTAATTACCTATATACAGCCGGCGTGTGTATTCTTTAACGCCTGAAGGATTCCTTAATCCCCCTAATTAAATAAAACAATTGACTACGGAATAATTTGTTTTGTAATTCATTTTGATTTAAGATCCAATTTAGAGTACCTACAACTTTTAAACTTTGAACTCTTAATTAATTTTTTACAATATGGAACTTATTGGACGAACACTTTTAATATGTAAATAATATACGGGTCCAGCTATGTGGTGTTTACTGCGAGCATTTCGCTTTTCCACATAAAGTGTAGTGTCGTTAATATCTGTCATTAATTAATCAATCCGACTATAAAAGTTATACGATGTCTGCGATATCACCTCGGTGGAAGCGGACGTAAATTACAACTAACTAACAACAACAACGAGTTATACAGGCATGGGCCATAAATTAATTTACACGTTGGTGTTAGCAGTGAGTGTTAGTGGGATTAAGAATGTTGATTAGGTAATTATCTTTTTTTACGCCGGCCAGATCAAAGACGTCACCAGGAACTCCACGAATGACCCCATGCAATTTTCGCGGCAAAGTTTAACTTCATTTACTACACCCGTAGTACATGGAACGGTAAATGGTAATAAGATACCAAGCGTTGATTGGCAGAGAAATGAGTGCGATCTATTGTACATGTTATGCATAGTCATCGGAAAATTCCATATTCACTGTAGTTGTTCTTTATGTATAGAAATGGTTTTTATTATTATATATAGCTAATAATGAATATATCGACAGATGACTGGCACCATTTGTATTTCTGTACTTAAGTTCGGGATATCAAGTATTACGGGGTTATCCAAATTACCGGTAAATGCGCTAATTTCTTGAGTCATCTTCATTTGACCCGTGGCCTATTTAAACAAAGGCAGCTTAAAATGGTCTACGGCATGGTACGGCATTTTAAATTCACTCTAAAATATTCCAATCACAAATGTCTAATCTGTACCAATGAAAGACGATAATTCGGTGATTATGATCAGGCCAGTCACGTGGTAATTGGACCGTCAATAGACGCTTGTCCAGTTGCCGTGTGTATTGATAGTGCAATATTGTACAGACAGTGAGATATTGTATAGATAATGTATATCCTATGTGTAGTGCCTGTGACGTCACCAGCCAATCAACCGGATTAAGGTCGTAATTGAAAAATCGAAAAGCGTTTTGGCGTGTCGGATACTTAAACGTTAACAGCGGACTTAATTTTAATCAGATTGGTGTGAACTTGCCGTAAAGTTGATATAGTGACCATGGGCTATACATACATGCAATTTAGATTTTTGATCTTACGTGGTCTTTAATAAAAAAAAAACGACTTTACTGCTGCTTCATGGATTATAGGAAAGCTTTTGACTTTGTAAATAGACATAATTTATGGTACAAATTATTAAAACAAGGCGTTAAAGGGTGTAATTTTAACATAATCAAGTCACTTTATGACAATGCCAGGTGCTGTATCAAACACGATAATTTACTCTCAACAATGTTTTTATGTTCAAATGGATTATTTCAAGGCGAGGTTTTATCTCAGATATTATTTTCCCTATATGTGAACGATTCTGAAGATCAACTTTTAACAGATAATTGTCCATCAATTAATTTACAAATGATCAATTTATTTTTATTAATGTACGCAGATGACATGGTTTTATTTGCAGAAACTCCTGAAGGTTTACAAAAATTATTAGACTCACTCGAAAGTTATACCGATTCGTGGGACTTAACCGTAAACATTAAAAAAACTAAAATTATGATTTTCAGAAACGGTGGTAAAATAAGAGAAAACGAAATTTGGTTCTATAAAAATGTTTTAGAAACTGTCATACAATTTAACTACTTAGGTGTACTTTTAAATTATAATGGTAAATTTAATAACACGCGAAAACACTTAGCGGACGAAGGGCATAAAGCTCTTATTAGCTTATCAAAAACTTGTAATAAAAACCATTTTAACATAGAAACAAAATTATCAGTCTTTGATACATACGTCAAAAGTATTTTAAATTACGGTGCCGAGATTTGGGGCACACATTCGGCTAGCGATATTGAAAAATTACATTTATTTTTTGCAAAAATCACTTGGAGTCCTAAAAACAACTTGTAGTAGTATGATTTATAATGAACTCGGTAGATACCCTTTGATTTTAAATAGAAAATGTAAGATTTTTAAATATTGGGTTCGTCTACGTAACACTGATAATGTTATTCTCAACTCCTGTTATGAAGATGTGATTTTAAATAATGACAGTTGGATTAAATTTATTAAAACTGAATTAGATAGAATCGGTCTTGGATATATATTGCTTTTAAAAGAAGTTAACAATGGTACGTTCCAAATTATAAAAGATAGGTTATATGATATCTTTGCCCAAGAAAATATGGAAAAAATAAAATCGTCCGCCAAAGGTATAATTTATCAACATTTAACCGTTAACTTTAGGCTGCAGAGCTATTTTAAAAAAAGCGTTAAATCTGTTTTCCTTAAAACTATAAGCAAATACCGAATATCCGCGCATAATTTAAATATAGAAGTAAGCCGATACAATAAAATAGAACGTAGTGGATGAAAGTGCACACTTTGTAACCTGAACGACATAGAAGACGAATTTCATTTTATTTTAAGCTGCCCTTGCTATAATGAATTGCGTCACCAATTTATCAAACCATACTTTTTACGAAACCCTAATATATTTAAATTAATTCAGTTA